GGCGTGGCCGGCGTTAACGTCGACTCGAAGTTGTTGGTCGGTCACGCGCACGCCAACACGCCGAGCTCGCCTTCCGCGCAGCAGCAGCAGCAGCAAAAGCCCAGGAACAAGTCGAGGACGTCCGCCGGTAAGCGGCACGCCTACCACCTTTCCCTCTTACTTTCTCTTTTCTTTCGTTTTTCTTTTCTTATCTTTTGGGTTCTCCTTGATTTTCCGAATTCTTTGGGTTTCAAAATGCAACGGCCTAGTCTCCGCAACATTCTAGCCAGTTTTTCGAAGATCCAAGCCGCGCTTCCAGACTACGATACAGAACTACGAACACCACATAATCGGACGTCGGTCCGATGGATTGTTTCTCATAGGCTATCGCAATCGCACCGCGTATTTTTGCCCGTTTAACCAGATTTAAGATTCACCGACGCGTTACTCCACGCAGTCTAATCGCGAAAGTACACCGTCGGCGACGATCGACCGACCGTTTAGGATCATCGATGTTCGGCATAAATTACTTGCTCTCAATGGATTTTGCTTCCTGGTAATACCATTGTCGATCTATTGCATTCGTATCAGCCGCGTCTTGTAACGTAAAATGCTAAGCGAGGTAAAATTTCTTGGAATTGTTCGACGCTGGCCACAAAAAGTACCGGCACAGCATTGTATCGTAGCATTTACATAATCATTTGCGCGGTAGGTGTTTGTACACCGTGGTATTTATTACAACGTTATTATTTATCATCGTTGTACGTGTTATTCGCAATTAGTCAGCTATATCGAAGTATATGAAACTGAACTGCGCAACCTGACAAAATGCGCTTCGTCGTAAACCACAAGCGTGTGAGTGCCAATATGTTTCGTAGCCACTGTAGGTACCCGATACTAATGGCCGGCAGTGTGAGCACGCGTATTGGCCGAAAGTGCCAACGTATACAAGTAGAATAACATAGCAACGCGTGACAGTGAGCGATAGAGAACAGAGTATCTACCTCGATCGTCTTTCTTTCGGTTATCTCGGTAGCTGCGCGAGTACCAACATACTTACGGAGACGAGGCCGTGCGAGTGCTGTCGTTTCTGGTCTTGGACTTTTTCACTGTCTGGACGTAGCGAGTTCCACGCAGTAGAATGGCCAGTTCGTGATCGGACGAGCCTCGTTCCCACCGAAACGGCCGCACCCCATTTCACTTTTTCTTTCCTTTGGTTTCACGTTAACGCTTTTGGTTTCCTTAATTTTGCTTGCACGCACGAACCCCGGTGCACTCGACTATCCGCAAGCACTCGAAGCACCGGGATTCGCGCGGTTTTTCGCTTTCAGTTCCAGTATCCTTCGTTTGCTTTCACTTTTGTCACACCGGGTACTTTTTCCTTGGTTTTATTTATCGACTCGAGGTTCGCCTGCACGGCGTTCCTCGCGCCAATCGATATTCCTCGAGCACTCGTTCCTAGAATATAGCGAGGCACGAAGAACACCACTTCTTTCTCCAAGGAAAGAAACCTCGAGTCGTCTTTCTTTCTTTTTTTTTTTTTCTTTTTCAATTTTGTTCCGTTTTTTGATCCCCGAACGAGCTTTTGGTGGCGGTCGTCTTTCGCTTACGGTTCGTTGATACGAACGACCAACACGTCTATATATATATATATATATTTTCTCTTTGTTTTTTTATCGAAACGAGCTGAGTGTTGTCGGCGAGAGGGAGACACACCGACGCGTATTTTTGTATTTTTGCCTCACCGATGTGTTTTTTGAGTGGCACCCGCGAGACGTCGAGCGTGAACAGCACCACACCTGATTGATTTTTATGACGAACGTGGATGCACAGGGCGGGACACCGAGAACGGCAACGCCTAGACGTCTCTGATTCCAAACGTATGACAATCTCGTTTATTCCTTTGAACAACGTCTATGCTATCGCAGACGTTGCACGGTAATGTCTCTCGATAATTGTCCGAAAATGGGCACAAGCGTCGACCAATTATCGGATCGTGGAATTGGCTCTGGAGCTGCAGATGACGCGTGCCATTTTGCATGGAACGTGGAAGAGGACAGCGCGAGTGAAAAAGGAAGAGACCCGAGGATTGGCTTTGGAGAACGAAACATAGCTGCGGGACAATATTAACCGCGGTGACGAAAGATTTTCAATTTTGTTATATACGTTGCACACTTAGCAACGCGATATTCGCTCACGGCATATTTGCATATTTAACGACGTTGACTTATTTTCCGTCGTTAAACGCGATTTAAACTATACCGTGTTTGGTCTCGTTTTAATCAGAAAAACCTCGCAAACTGGTTGGTCAAGGTTTAATTTAAAAAAAGTCACAGACCAAAGAGTTTCGTTATTGCGTTAGTATTGTCACGCTGACGTTTAAATTCGGATCGCATTACGCTGGTCAGCGGACGAGATTCGCGCTGCGTCAAAGGAAACTCTTGGAAGAAGCTGGTCTAGCGATGCGGATGACGACCGGACATTTATCAAGTATGTACACCACGCTGGGCAATTATCGAGACGTTACTGTTGCTCTTATTTTTTTCGAGGCGTCGGAGACGCTCGAGCGTCCGCTCGCAGGCGACTCGACTCGGCGCATTCCTTTCTCTGTGCCTTTCTCTCTGTATGGTTCTATTATATATATATATTTTTTATAAATACACACAGGTGTAAGACACACACGCGCGGGCGAATCAGCACACACGTACCTGTTTTTTTTTTTTCTATGTATCTCTCTATCTCGATGTGGTGTGGCTACATGCTACTCGTTTTTTGGTTTTGTCACTGGCAAAAATCTCCCTCTCGAAAAGAGTCTGCGGACCAACGTTTTTGCCGTGCTTTCTCGCACGATTTTTCTCTGCGCCACGAAGCGTTCGACCGATCAACTCAACGGCCAATTCTTTGATTCGGAGAAACCGTGCCGCGGATACTCGAGCCGTTTGACGGAAAAATAAGGGGAGGCCACTCGCCACAGCTGGAAAGCGGCAGGAAAATCGGGCAAAACGGAAATCTGGGTCGTCGCTGGCGATCGAAGGGGAGGTAGAAAGGGCGAAGGGGAACGGGAATGGGAATGAAACGGTTGAAAAATGCCGGATACGTTGATTGCGGTAATAATAGCCGGTCTGCGGCGAGGACGGCGCGGCGTGGTAAAAATCCTAATTCCGGGAACAATGGCCCGACTTCGCGGCGTGGAAGTCCGCTAATTAAATCGACTTACGACACACACAACGCACAGCGTGCCAGCCTCGATGACTGCGAAGCCAGACAAATCCGTGGATCTCGTACAAAGCTACGACCAAACGTATCTAAATGCTCTTTTAAATCGCTAGAATTCCAACCATATTAATTACAACGAATATAACTTATACAGGCTGTTTCCTAATGAACGAGCGATGTTCGAGTAATCGTTGCGGTACCTAAAAGCGATAAGAACGTAGCTCGTATCCACTTGAGTTTCTTCGATCTCGTTTACGAATTTTCTGTTCTATCGTTTCGTATCTAATTCGTCTTCGGATATGCTGCGAACGATTTTCCCGTGTCCGCAGACTTGCAGACGTCTGTCCTGCTATCGATGCGCGACTCCTTCGATACAGCCAGATATTTTTTAAATTTGTCGAGATCCTCGTTCGATTTTATGGCCACGTGTTCCAAGAACTTGAAGAGGTGTGGATTATACAAGAGACTTCGAGTACGCCCACGAGGAAATATGCAATGTACGCGCGTGCATTGAGACGCAAGGAAGTAAATTTGAGTACGAAGGTAATCAGATACGAAATGATAGAACACCAAACTCGTTACGCAAGTATATCTCGTAAACAAGATCAAACGGCGTCGATTGGAAGGCTTTTTTATCGTTTTTGAACGCTGTATCCGTTGCTGAAATATCGCTCGCTTGTTATGAAACACCCGTTATAGTTGTATAGTTCCGGTAATTGGAAAAAGAAAAAAAGAAAATCTAAAAATTCTTCGTTTTGACGAGTTGTTGTGGCGCAAAGGCTGTCCGCCAAGAGAACGGACAGCTTTTGCGCGAAAGAACCGCGTCACGCCGCGCCTATCGAGTCGAAAGTAAAAATTTAGCATTTCTAATTCGCGAGAGTTACGAGTCTCGAAATACACGCGACGCGTATAATTTTCATCTTCGTTAGAACGTTTCTTTCGGCTAATAGCCGTAGAGAGATTTCTCTGCCGCGGATGCTTTTATTAATTAATCGTTAACGAAGACGCGTGTTTTTGCCACAAGTGAAAATTGCAATTAACGAGCCAGCTCATATTCCGTTGCTTTTCTCCTCGCAGCGTTTCATGCTCTTTAACTCGAGCGTCGTTTTCGTAAAAAAAATCTTCGTAGGCCTGGCGATTCGAAAGTTTAGACGACAACGTTCCATCCGCAACCATTTTCGCGCAGCGATCGTTCGAAATCGGAATTGAGAAGAAGAAGAAGAGGAGGAGGAAGAAGAAGAAGAAGAAGAAGAAGAAGAAGAAGCAACAGCAACAGCAAGAGTCGCCGGGCCAAATTCGTGACGGAACGCCGGTTTCCTCGTCCTGGATCATAATTCATCCGTTTATGGCAAAAGTGGCACGGCTTCCATCGGTCTCGTTCCCCCGGTCGAACTCGTCTTTTCGTCGAAACAATCCGCCTCTTTCTCGTAAGCATCGTTTTCTCGGACGCGATACCGAGACGTTAACGATCAGCGATCGCAATTAAAACAATCTCGCGTAGTCGTCTCTGAATGAACGCGTGCACTTGCGACACGATAAATCGCGTTAAAAGAGCAAAGATTACGGTTAAATTAGAAATCGTCGGATGTATCTTTATTTTTCCTTTTTTTTTTTCTTTTTTTTTTTTCTTCTAATATTTTCCTGCCCCCCTGGTTAATCGAAGAGTTTTCGAATCGCTCTTTGGCCACGTCGGTTGCGTAAGATTCGACACGAAAAACGCCTCGGCGCAGTCTACAGATCTTTTGCAGTCATGGCGAACGCTCGGTTCGATCTCGAGGAGGATGCAGCTCGAAGGACCACTTCGAGAGACGCGGATTTCACGGCTCGAGGAAAATTCTTGCCTTTTCATCGGATAAAATTCTCCCCTCCCTTCTCTTCTCTTCTCCCGTCGTACGATTCCCAAAACTTTCAGGCTCGTTCCTCGTTAAGGCAAACGAAACAGGCAACGCGATAAAAAGTATGTTTGATCGATTTATGGCGAGTACACAGTGTATTACGATTTTTATCAAAGTGTACGAATGAACGATCGGTTATTATCTAATTAGGAGCAACGACTATTACTTTTTCATGAAATCACGCCATAAATCTGTAATTGCGTTCAAAAAAAACGTAGCAGTAACATGCTTTGATATTTATTATACGTAGGTAACGCTGTAATTAACTATGGTTAATTGCCGCTGTAATTAAGAAATTTGAAAAATCTGAAGACGAAGGATTTGTTAGGTAACAAATTAATTTTATACGTCCTGGGAATCGCACACGTCGCTTTTATCATTGCACATTGATTTCCAGTAATCGGTTAAACCGGTTGTAGTATTAGTATCATACGCAGTTACCACGATTATAAGAAATATAGTCATCGCCGTTTAATTTCTCTATAATTCTATAACTACATATTTTACAACTATAACTGTCCTACTTGTTTCTTCTTCGCGACCCTATCTCTTCGGACGTCTCTTCTTCTTCGTCTATTTTACTCATAGAACAGTCTGTATTGCATCTGTATCTTCGCGCATCTTCTCTACTTAAATCATTTTGCCAGTAACGAGCGTGAAATACGCAAAAGATAGGAAGATCGCGTTAAATGGTAAAACCAAGCGTTCGAAAGGTACGCGCGTCCTGCGACGCGTCTCGGGTCGCGACAGACCCAGGTAGAATTAAACGGACGATAATTAATCATGGAAAAAGAGTACGACGCCTGAAACTTTTGATCCTTCCCTTTCCGTGTGCTGTCTGGTGGGGGTTAGAACTAACGATACCAGGTCTGTTCATCCTTCGTCGTGCAATCCCATCTGAAACGTCGTCCCCGCTATTAACAAGCCGCTATCGGACGATCGTGTTCGATCCACGAGTCCTTCGAACGGCCACGGTCCTAAAGAGACTCTGCTTTTGCTCTGGTAATCGCTTGATATGGTATGTCTGCAACTGCATGCGACTCCCATCACCGATCTTCGTGACTTGGTGTCCGCGTCGAGCACGCTGACTCGTCGAAATCCTCCCATTTTCTTCTTGAACGTTCTTCGCGGACCTTCAGATTTTCCAGATCGTTTCGAGAAGCCAACGTGCTCGAGCTTCTTCCCAATACGCTCGATCGGACGATATTCAAACGGAATTCTTCCAAACGGCATAATTTACGAACGTCTTGTGAATCGTCGAGATACTTTTGCATGGCCGGAGCTTAGTCCGAAGTGTAGTTTCAGCGCGTTTGAAATTAAGCGGAGGGAGAATCCCATTGCTGTTCGTTCGATCGACGTCACCGAACGTAGCTTCTCTTTGACACGAAGCGTTCCAACACCGAAGGATTAATCAATTTGTTGTTTTGACGGTGCGACACCGACAGAGGGCCGCGAGTGTGTGAATTGCGGCGCAACTTCCACGCCTCTGTGGAGACGAGACGGCACTGGTCACTACCTCTGCAACGCTTGCGGGCTCTACTACAAGATGAACGGACAAAACCGACCTCTCATCAAGCCGAAACGACGCCTGGTAAGTACCTAAGCTGAATCATTTTGCTACACTGGCGTGCGCAAGTACTTGGACACCTGGTGTCGTCGAAAAATTCGTTATATCTTCAACAAACAACGATTCGATTGACTTTGATTAACCGGATCAAACGGCCCGCCAAGTCAAAATTCAAAGAAGAAATACACGCGCGTCTATGGAGTTTCATATTAATCAAAATAAAGTTTTCGAACGTGTTATTCTCAGACAGCAACGTGCAACGCCTACGGTTACGATTTTCGTACAACTTGTATCGTTTTATCTATACTAATTAATATTAACTAACGTTTTCATCAATATGTACCAGGCGTGCATGGTCGTTGTACGTTTTATTTATCTGTGATAATTCGCGAGTGTCGAAATGCTTATGCATGCCGGTGTATTTTTACTCGAGAAGGATCGAAGACGCACACAGCCTTCGTGCCATTTGCATTGTAAAGTCGTGGAAAGGAAACTTTACGTAACGACGAGGCGTCGTCGAAAAATGTTAGTTGGAACGTCGGACCTTGCGGTTTGACCTGTGCGCGTATCGGAAATCCGAGATTACAGAGCCGCCTGCAAAGGTGTCAGTGGGTTTTCGTTCTGTTCGTAAACCGGAGGCAACCGACGAATCGTCTAGGAGCTGGTGCACCTGTCTGCCTCGTAAAAGCGTGTCCTTGATCGTTTCCTCGGTGCGCATCGAGCCGCACATTACACTTAATTAATACACGCTCGCGATACACGGCAGTTGTGTGTTTCTCGCGATATGCAGATGCAGTCATCAGAATGCAAGATAAAACAAGGCCAAGCTAATTTCCTATATACGCGGCTATTAACACACCACGTTCCCGTTCGCGTATTCCTCGTCGATTCCAGCGTTACGAACTGTCCGAAAATCGCGCGCACACGATTTTCCACCAAATGAAAATCGTGTCTCGGTAGAGCAGGTCTGTTTCGGCGAAACGATTATTAGCCCGTTGAGTGCGTCAAAACGAGCGCGGTTCGCTCGTTTCCCAACGATTCGTAGCTCGCTTCTGACAAATATCTTTCTGACGAAGAAAACCGCTGACTTTGAAAGTGCACTGTAGCAAATAGTAGCAGGAAGATATATGCAGGCTGGTCGTGAGATACGATCAATCTGGTTCGATCAAGTGCCATGAATATCCATTAGCGCGCAGCCGCAAAAAATTCTAATTTATCGTTTCCCAGCTTTGCACCTTTATCGAATGAATTATTTGTCGCTTGCAACGAGTTTGACAAAACTGAGTCTCAGTCGGCAGCAAATATACGCGACGCGTTAGAAATGGAAATTTCGGATCACCAGGTATCGGTAGGGGCGGATCGATAACGCGAAGGGTAACCGGGGCTTTCGTGCGATCGGCCCGTACGACTCGTGCGAATTCCATCTATTTTCGTCGAGCAGACGCTCTGGCACTTACGCAAACGGAATGGCGAAACTCGATATCTTCCCTCCTTTCCACGTCAGATTCATAAATTCGCGTCGTCTTTCCACGGAACAGTTGGCTTTGGGAAAAACGTTTGGCCCACGAAATCGCCGAAGAATCGTCGATTCGAAGTGAAAGTGCAGGCTTTCGGCCAGTGGATCGAGGCGAGTCGCGTTCGCGAGAGAAGAGTCTGCATTCCGCGGATGCAAAAGCGCATAGCACGGTGACGTTTCACTATCCCTCTCGCGCGCTTTCTCTCGTGCGCGATAGAGCAAAGCTGATGGATTCAAGCTTTTTCTCGCCGCCACCTGCTCCTCTAATTACGCCGCTCACGCACGCACTAGATTTATTAATCGTCGTGTTTTTGCCATCATTTGTCGGCCGGCTGCCTCGGCCTATCAACTCGCCAAACGCCATCCCCAGCTTTTGTTCGGTTTCGCGCGGTGTCGCATTTTTTGTCCGGCGAAATGCCATTGGTTTTCGAAGCAGGAAAACTGGAAACTGTTGAAAAATACATCGCGACCGTTGCTCATCCCCAGGGTGCGCACGTGAACAAAGATCGCATCGTTGTTACACCTTTCTGCTCGTTTTATTTATCGTTTCATCGGTCTCCACGTGGAAGATAGTCATCAAGACCCGGAGGTATATTTCTTCGTCGATCATAGTGGTTTAGTAAAAAAAACTGTAGCTAAAGAGACGCGTGTAACGCGAAGTACGTAAATACGCGTCTCTCGGTTCCAACACCAAACGGAGCTGATCGCTTGCGAGTGGCAGAAAATTCGAAGCGCGTGTTTGAAACGCTGCAACATCGTGCGGAAAAACGCTCGATACCGTGAAACAGTGGCCTGAATAATTCGTCCCTGATATAGTAGGTTTTCCCGGAAACAGCGAGGGTCTAACGATCGCCGCGTAGTCGGCGTCAGCTCAAATATTATGACAGCGCGACGAGCCGAACCCGCCCACCTATCACTCACACAGCGAGGACGTACTCGCGTAGATCGGTAGGCGCGAGCCGAACCTATAAAATATGTATCGGTTTAAACCGGTAGGCGTCGCCTGATCGCCGGCACGCGTGTCACATTTTCGGCCCGACGCTATAATTTTCTTGCCGTGGCCATTTCCTCGGGCAGCAGCAGGCTTTCTCTGCGCTGTGTGTTTTAATAATCGACGAAACTTCGCCCTCCATGTTACGCGAAAGCACCGGTCACGTCGAATAAATCATTCAATAGCATCGTATTTTTTGGTAATTGCTACGAGCCTTGTCCCTTCGCTTGCCTTTTTCCCCGTTGCTTCTGACATTTCGAGCTCCCACTCCTTCTCGGACAGAGCGTCGAAAACGATTTATTTTTGCTTAGAAATAGGTACAAGACGAATATTGGGCGATAAAATAACGCGTAATATTTGGATTCTCAAAGGTTTGTCCCGAATGCAACGAAACGCTATATTCCCCTAACGCACGCGTTTATTTACGTTGATTCAGAGTATGTAATTTCTAGCTGCTCTTCGACATTTACAGGTTACCAGGTAGAATTTTATCATTTTCTGTACTAATTTCATAGAACAATTCCTGAGGCAATAGATTTGTGGCGGCACTCGACAGCAAATACCATCACTTGGCGCTAAGTAGAGTCGAACGACGGTAGCGCAGTGGTTAGCGTCTTAGGTTACGAACGTTCGTATCCCGGGTTCAAATCCGGGCGACCCGTAATCCGATTTTTCTTTCCACGATTCTTAAATGAGAAGAAAATACGACATCCACACCCGCAGCAGACACAACTAACTCGTCCCCTACATGAACAGTAACCGCACTAACTTGACCAAACTAATTGCAATCTCCACCTCAGATTGGTTTATGTGACAGCCAGCTATCACTGTTATAGTATCTGCTGGTGTAGCATTTGACTCATGTCCAATGGGATAATTATCCCCCATCACTGCTATGCTCATTCTACAAAACAGATTGATTTAAAAACGTATATTGAATCATTCATTTCTGGTTATAATTCGGCACGTAGCTAAATAATATTGTGACACGATTTTCCAGAACTTCTAATGGTTTCTTAACCCATTTGCATCATGGCTCTACTTTACAGGATTGGTCCCTATGATGGCGCGCGTAAAGTGTTCAGAAAATTTACTGTTCAAAACGATTGGTAGACAAAATGTTACTTCGCAAACATATCGCATCTTACGTTCCTTACAACAAAGGGAAAAAGGAAAAATTGTTTATTTAAAAAACATAAGAAATTAAATCATATTATTTCTCGTGGAATACTTTAAAATGGTCAATACAATAAACTGATATAGGCGAGATGCTGAGAAACGGGTCAAACGTGATCTCTCACACCTGAAGAATACTTGGCGACTGAAATAAAAGGCAGTCGCAGCGCGCGTTATAATCCGCGCTTGGTGATAGAAGACAGTCGTCCGATTGCGTAGTAATCCGCGCTCCGATGCAAATGTGGGTGGTTAACTATGGTCCAATCTATTGTTTCTGTACAGTATTCAAACAAATTGTTGTTCAAGTTGATAGGTTTTAAGCACATTTGTACTCCGGCGTGCATATATCGCTGGTAGGTTTTAGCGCAGCGTGTGTTACGTTATAAAGGTAAATCGTGAAGCGGACAGGATGCGATAAACGGGAAACGTTGAGTTATAATTGGAAGGGAAATTTCGAAATACGATACCGTGGAAGGAAAAGATGGGAATCGTTAGTTACACCAAAACTGAAGGCTGCGCTATGAAATACAAATTAAAAATGGAAATACCACGAGCTCTGGGTATCAAGAGAGAAGGAGGGGTTTGCGCGTTATAGGAGAAACACCAAGAATCGGCCAATGTGTAGTACAAGGTTGAAAATAAGCAAGTTATGGAATTACAAAGTAGCGAATTAATCAGTAGCCTTGTGTAACACGGTGCATAACTTCGTAAATAACGTCGATAAATTAACATTTTCCACTTCGAATCTCTCAATACGCGCCGGCCACGTTGTGGCGTCACAATTCTGTGGTAGGCCTTCGACACGCTCCCATGAAATTTTTTATAGCTTCGATACAAAAAACCTGCATGATTCCTACGTTGCGATATACTCGTGTTGGTGATAAACAGCGTGAAAAAGAAAGCAGGAGAGTGTGACTGGAACGTACAAGTCGATCGTCGAGGAGGGACACAGGGTCGATCGACCCCCTCGCGAGACCTCGTGGAAAAAGGCCCCGAAAAATAGGAGGAGCCACCCGGGCCATATGCTTTTCGCACAATATGTCGCGTTTTTACGGGGCCGTGCCATGGGAGCGAATCCGGTCGCAGATGTGACGAGAGAGGAGAGAAAGAGGGCCGCCGATACGATCAGCGAAACAAAGGGCGGCCACCACCAGGTATTCACCCCCTTCTTCCTCGTACTCTGTCTCTGCGCCGAAATAATAAAGTCGTGGCACATATCGGGCCACGTGAAAACGCATTGTGCCGACGTGTCTCTTCCACGGAAATTCCAGCCGTGCGTTATTATGAACGGGTACGGTCTAACGTGCTCGAAAGCCCCGATGGGCCAGATAGCAAGGGTTG